GTTGATTGATAAATTTATTTTAAAAATAATTTAAAATAAATAAATAAATAAGTGCGTGAATAGTTTTCTTCTTCTTCTCTCAATTTTGGGTGGAAGTTTTTGGACGTGGGACTCTCAAAAACTCGTCTCCAGTTCCACACACTTTTCTTTTTTTGTGAATATTTACTTCCAAACTCAACATCCATACATTTCCCACCTCTACCCTCCACTCTTCCGCTACACTAAACAAAGCATAAATGAATCCAAACCCACACATAAATATGAATATACATATAATACATTAAAATAGATTAAATTTTACCGATATAAATTTTATAATTATTATACCGTTTACTAATTTTATATAAAAATAAATTTTATTAATTAAATTATAATTTTATATTATCTTAAATGTTTATGTCAAATTTTGTTAAAACTTTGACAACAATAAAAAAGTGATTAAATTATTCATATTTTAATATATTTTAAAAAATATATATATATAATGTCAGTTTTGATTTATAAAAATAAGTTATCAAATAATTTTTAATTAATATAAAATTGGCAAAACTATACTTTTCGTCCCTTATATTATTTATTAGTGTGAATTTAGTCTCACTTTAATTAATTAAATCAATTTAGTCTCACATATTTAAAATATATCTCAATGTTTGGCATTCTGTTTCCTCCGTTTAAATACTTAACGGATGTGACACGTCATGCCACGTGTCATGCTATCATGTCACGTGACATGACATCATAACATGTGGCAGGACACATGACATGACACGTGACATGGTGACATAAGACGTGACATAATGACATGACACGTGACATGATGACATAACACGTGGCATGGTAGCATGACATGTGTCATGTCATCATGCCATGTGTCAAATCTGTTAAGTATTTAAACGAAAAAATAGAAGGTCAAACATTGAGATACATTTTAAAGATATGAGACTAAATTGATTCAATTAGTTAAAGTGTACTAAATTGACACTAATAAATAATATAAAAGATGAAAAATATAGTTTTGCCTATAAAATTTTGTATATATGATTAAGATAAAAAGAATTTTCAATTTAATTAGATAAAAAATTATTTTTTATATAAATTTATTAAGCATGTAATAATTGTATTAGCAATACCAATACAATAATTTTATTATATAATATTTATATTCTATAATATATAATATGATAAACCTTAAGATATTCGAGAATAAGCAAGTAAGAGTAAGAAGGGCAAAATCGTAATTTCAAAATTTAGATTTTCTCTTCACTGAATTTTCAACACAAGTAAACAGCAACCGAAAACATTTTCTCACATTTCAGAGTTGAAGTTCAAACCCATGAAACCAGAGCACAGATTCTTTCAATATTCCCTTTGCCTCTTTCTTCTTCTCCCTTGTTCATTTTTCAAACACTGAGAAAGACGCAACAGTAGCAGCGGCAAGCACGAAACGACGTCGTTGAGAGAAGCTCGTGTCTCTCACCTCAACCCTTGTAAGTCCTCTTCTGGATCTAATCCTCTCTGCCTCTAAATGTTGCTCCCTTTTCAATCCAAAATCCAAACTTACTTCCTTTTTGGAATTCATGTTGTTTTTTCATTTGAAACAATTTTTTTTTTTTTTTTTTTTGCGTGTCATACAAAGGGGGTAGAAGAACATGTGTACTCTATGAGGACGTATCTTTTACTTGTTTATCTGAGATTAATTCTTGGTATATAATCCTTTCTTCTTCATCAAAAGCCACAAGATTATTTTTCTAACTAAGTTAATTGGAACACACACTTCAAAATCTGAAACATCACCTGTTGTAGGTATCCAAAATGGTGTAGAAATGTTATTTATTTGATGAGAAGTGTTAGCAACGTATGTTAGAAATCACAAATTTTTTTTTGGGTCCCATTATTGTTTTAATGAGATTTTCTCTTTTGTAGTTTCCTACAAATTTGAAGTTTTTCACCAATTGTTGATAGAGTGTTAGAAGGAATATTGTACGTCAGTGCAAGTGAATGCTGTGGTAATAATAGATACAACAAGCACGACTATATGTCATTGAGCCTAAAATTATGATAACGAAAGTGAATGCTGTGGTACTTGTTTTTTTTTTTTTTTTTTTTTTTTTTTTTTCACATGGTTACTGGTAACCTTGGTGTGTTATGAATTATTTATTGGGTTTTGATATTTTTAATAGAGTAATGAAGTTTACCTTTGATAACTCCATCGTTGTCGTTGTATTGATATAATCCACAGTCCTTTCGTGCATATAAATGTTGTAATTCCATTGAAGAGAGGGAGAGTTCCTGATGCTTTGATAGTTCTATTGTTTTTTGTCTTTTTTATTATTTTCATAAGAATCAGATGGTATTATCTTGTGAGTTGTGACACTGAATTTGTCTTCTTTTTATGTCATATATGTTGCTTTGGCAGCTCCAAGGTGACCCCTTCGCTAGGATCCTCAAAGTTGCATGATAAGTAGTTTAGTACTTCTTTCATCTCCTAGTTCAAGCATAGTTACCAGTTGGACACTGTTCTTGACTTCTTGTATTATAAGGGGGAAGCCGCTGATAAGCTAAGCACAGGTTTGCTCTTCTACTTGGAGGATTTTTATTGAGGCTTCAGTAAAAGCAAGGTAGTTAATATCTGAAAGAAATAGAGAGGAAAAAAGTGATTGGGACAAAAATAATGTGTTGAGACAAAAAATATGGAGGGTGTATACTGGTGGAAGCCGGAAGGAACAAAAGAGATAGTTGGTACTTGAGAGGGATGTTAGACTGATAGAGGGGCTAGTTAGGAGAAGGGGGATAAATAACAGAGATGTATAGGATGGATCATCTTTTGGGAGATCAGTTTTGTACTGAGTGATTGCTTTGGTGTAAAGGAGAATTCCCTTGGAGGAGGTTTAACTCCTTGACTCAGTATTCACTATTCATCAATAATAGACATATACTGTTTCTTCCTCTTCACTCGCTGTTATCATTCCTTACTACCCATTTTCCTCATGTTCTAACAGAAAGAAAGTTGAAAAAATGTATTTGAGAGAAATATGAGAGAATGATTCTTGGGTCTGAAACTTTGATATCACTGAATGAAAAATCTTACACAGCAATCCGCTGTTTATAGAGGAATAGGATCAACTAACTGAATCTTCTAAATACTGTCTTGATAATTGTTATCCTAACTGAATGTGCTGGTACAGCATAATACAGCTAACGGCTAACTCACTACAGTTGGTGCACAGATAATATATCTAGTATAGGCAACATAACAATGTTTGCTATACAAGTGAACTCCTTATTGAATGCTTTTTAATGATGAATTTACATGATTCTGATTATACCTTTTTATTCCATACTATGTGTATCAAACCCTTTATTTAGTTGATGTCCATTTCCTGTGAATTATAGGAAATCTCTGGGATATGTGAAACTTGGCAAAAAGCAGTATGGGAAACAACATATATGATGGGCAGATATTAGCAGAGAAGTTGTCGAAACTCAACAATTCGCAACAAAGCATTGAATGTATCCAGAGTTGCTCACTTGTTTTTTTTGGGTTGTTTTAGTGACAATATTTCTTTTAGTTATTTCTGCATTATCAAGTTGCCAGTAGTATACATATTATGGCTATAAAACCTTCCATGGAGCTTTTTGTTCATTACACTATTCAGTTACAGTAAAGCTGTGCAGTGATTTCTTTGAGCATAAAAATATATATCTAACAATATGCCACCTGTATTAAATGTTCTGTACTTTTTATTGTCTTGATTTTGTGCATGGGTTTCCATCACACCTTTTAGTAAGTTTTTATTTCTTTAAAAACAAGATAGATTTTATGTTTATGTTTATTATTATTAATAATTTTTTTAAGAAATGAATCTGTAGTTTCCATGCCACTTGCAATATCTAATGTATATACCATCTCTTACTGTGCTATGTAATTAGTATGTCAAAAATCAAGTTCACTGATCTGCTTGATGCTAATGAAATTACTTGAGAAAGTCCACTATGAAGCTATTCTTTAGGTCTTAGCCCTTTGCAGCTTTGCTCTCTCTAGAGTCTTTTCCCTGTTTAAATGTAAAAGGTCATGTTGCATCCAATATTATGCAATTGTTTAAACTCCCTGTGTAGAAATAATAGCTCATTAGTGTACTGAATGCACAGTTCAGTTTAACAATTTATCAATATGCTGGTAGCATGTTGTAGTTTAGCAAAATAGACATTTTACCCTATTTTCCCCACCAGCTGAATAATTTTCCAAAAGTAATATTCGGCCTGCTTGTTTAAGTTATATTTTTTTTAATAAAATAAGCAGTTTTTCTACTTTTTTGCTGTGTTTGTCTAAACTATTTTTTAAGAAAATTGTTTTTTCAAAGAAGTAACTCCTATCCGCTTCTTAAAAATTCACTTCTTTTATAATCCTTTTTTTAATTATTATTTTTTTTTAAATTTTTTAAATTTTAAATTTTAAACTAATTGGCCCATTATTATTTGTTTTATTATTGATGAGAATATGTGATTCAGTTTTGTTGATCTTTTTCTTCCAACATGATTTCCCTCTTCCTTTTTGGTTTGAGTTTAATTGGTGTATTTTCTTAAATGTTCTCTTAGCATTATCCCGTTTGTGTATTTCTCACCGGAAGAGAGCTAAAGAAATAGTTGAAACATGGGATAAACTGTTCAGCTCTTCCCAGAAGGAGCAGCGTATCTCTTTTCTATACTTGGCTAATGACATCTTGCAAAATAGTAGGCGGAAGGGCAGTGAGTTTGTTAATGAATTCTGGAAAGTTCTTCCAGCAGCTCTCAGGCATGTTTATGACAGTGATGAACATGGAAAGAAAGTAGTAACGAGACTTGTAAGTCCCATTCTCACTTGTAATCAATTGTTTATGCACAGATAGTGTATGTTTCTATTCTCAGATTATATTGTGATGCTATAGATTTGTGGGAGCCTGGCTTGGGTGATTTTAAACAATGATTAACTTCCGATTTAAAGAGCTGACTTCTCTGTATGTTCTGTATGAGTTGTTTGATTAATATGATTTTGTTAATGGAGTAGCATATATTAAGTGGAGCAAAGCTCTTGTTCTTCTAGATTTGGAAATCTCTTGAAAAATCTACATTTATGTTGTCCTAACTATAGTCATCATTATTTTTTAATTTCTATTTTTCTTATAGTTGAAAAAAGGAAACTGTATATTAATTGTGTTTTGTACATTCCCTAATCTCCCTTTCAATAGAGTAAAAGACTTCTTAAAAAGGAAATAACAATAATAAAGAAATAGAGAAACAAATATATAAAGATATTTAGAAATATTTTAGATCTCCTAAACAAGGTTGTTAAACTCAAGAGTCTACGTAAACTTGGAGCTTCTGTAGACTTGATTCATAAACTCGTAAGGGTTTATTTATTATAAAAATAACATTAAAAAACCTATTAATGACATATATGTATAACATAATACTCTTAATACAACAATAATGCAACATTTCAACTCCATGAAGAGGCAAAGTACTAAACTACAATAATAAAGTGTTATAGTACATTAGTACTAAATAGGATTAAATTACATAAATGATTAAATTATATATAATTTCATAAAAGCATAGTTCCTAAAGTGAAAATATTTCAAATAGGAGTTGATTTCTTCAAATCATTTGAGTCATAGTAGTACACTAATACTATGGAGTCAATGGACTAATACTATGGAGTCAATGGAGCAAAAATTACATTTGATTTCAAACTTGATAACTCGCTCCTTGACTTGAGAGTTTATAAGAATTTACATGAGTTTAAAGAGTTTGGTCGAGTTTATCCAGAAAAGAGTTTGCTAGAGTTTGTTATAATTGACTTCAGGGCAGTTAAAACAAACTCACAGAAAATACAGAAAAACCGTGGAGAATTCACATTCTCTTACAGTTAGCAGTACAGGTTAATAAAAGAAAACACAGAAAATTAAGGAGAATTGATATTCTCATACACATGATATATATGTTCCAGCTTGAGGGGAGTGTTAAAGATATCGGTTTCATATCTGTAAATAAGGAAATATGTAAAGCTAGAAATTGGGGATCCTTTTTATTTTCTTTCCTTATTTGTAACTTGTAATTCATTATTTGATTATAAATAAATATGTATGTGTGTGGATCTGAACACAATTCCTGCAATTCCTATATATATATATATATTTTAGTCTACTGTAATTTGTGTAATTTACTTAGTTTTGCCTATTTTATTCATTATGCTTGAGCATCTCTCTTGTCACTGCTACTGTCATTGTCATCACTATCACCACCATTTTGAATGACTGCACACCAACTCTACTTGAAGAAAAATCATTTGTAGAATGACCAACCTCTTTGAGCCCACCTCTAGTAGCCAGCGCACCCCTTTCATGTGTTTTTTTTTCCTTTTTGTGCATCAGCTCGCATCGCATTCCTTACTTCCATCACTGCATGGTGGTGGGTCCAGCCACCAGCTAGTCTGCTGTTGGTTCTATTTAACTTTACTTTGATGTCTTTTATCTGAATCTACCTTTCTTTGACCCAATCAACACTAGTCCTGCTTTCGAGTAACTGAAAACAGTTAGAGCCAGCTGGCAAAACTAGAACTAACTTGTAACTCATCCAAGGTGTTTTTGATACAATATTCACTCACTTCAGTTGTCAAAACAAACACCATTGTGATTTGCAGAGGTTCACAATTGAAGAAGGAATAGAGGAGAGAATGTACAGAAAACAACAGTTAAGAAACAACAATTAAACCCTAAACAACAATTAAGCAAAAGAACCCAAAATCTAAACAACATTCGTTGAATCCCTTGGATTGACAATGTCTTTAGCCTTTCTGTGGCTATCATCATTTGAGAAGCTTTCAGAATACAGAAAATGCAGAGAAGAGAATAGAAGAGAATTTGTTGGATCCAAAGAAGGCAACAATATACAAAAAAGGAACTATGAAATTCATACTTTGACTGGTCTGTATTAAGAAAGTGGGTTGGACTCTAATTCAATCTCACAAAATTGGCTTGTAAGGTGAGGGTTGCTCCCTATTTATATACTATATTTGTGGCCATATCTCTAGTCATTGTGGGATCTCCAACACCCCCCTCATGCCTGGAACTAGAAATTTGAGGGTGTTTCAATAATGGCTTGATAGTGGGTGGCCTAATAAGCTCAACAATATTAGGATAGGCTTTGATACTATTGGACTGAAACGGTTCTTTGCAAGTTCTTCTGTTGCAAATGCTTTCCTGCATGCTTCTTTCACTTGGCTTCCATCAAAAACAGGATTGTTGTTGACAGTTGACACTATTAGCAGATCTTTCTAACATACCCTTAGCCCAAAGGATGACCCACAAAATAAGCTTTCCATGGAGTGATCATAAACCTTAGTTTTGTTTAAAAAGAGTAAGCCCAAATTAATGAAGGCACGTGTTGGTATGTGTGACAGCACCTTTGGCCAAACTTCAAGTAAAATTTGATCCGTGAATTGTCTGAATTAGCTAATTTAGCATTTGACAAAACTTGCAGATCCTTTTCTTAGCTTTCCTACATATAGAACATAAATATTAGAGATCTACAATTCAAGTTATGGCCAAAACCAAAACCAAAACACTGAAACAAGGTCGATATGCATCAAATGTTGAAAATTTGCTTCAAAGTATAATAAAAATTAGTGCAAAATTAACTTAATTAGAGCCTTCGCATCATTAACAAGGCAATTATGTGGGTAATTAATGTGTTAAAAATAGTAATTATCAATTAACTTTCTTTAGTCTTCTATAATTGTTTATAATTTTAAGTAATTTATTATTTTTTTCTTCTACTTGATCATTTCATTCCCTCACTTTCTCTTATATTTAGATTGACATTTGGGAGGATAGGAAGGTTTTTGGTTCACGGGGTCAGGGTCTTAAGGATGAAATATTGGGTAAGAATCTCCTTCCATCATCTACAACTCAGGGTCTTAAGGATGAAATAATGGGTAAGAATCCCCTTCCATCATCTACAAGCAATGGGAAGAGTTCCAATCCTATCAAGATAGTGAAGAGGGATGCCCACTCTGTGAGATTAGTAAGCAAGTTATAGCAGCACTGTTTGATCTTTGATTTGTCTATTATGTTTTATTTTTAGATGTATGATCTCAAGGTATATCATATGTTTGTCATATTCATTGCAGAAACTGGCTGTTGGGTGTTTGCCAGAGAAAATATTAATGTCATTGCATTCTGTTCATGATGAACATATTAATGAGGAAGCTGCCTTAAACAAATGCATTGCTGTTGTACATCAAGTTGGTAAACTTGTAGAAGATGCTGAAAATACGTTGGCTCAAGGTAAGAGGACTAGCAAGTGGGACTTGATGATTTCTGCCTTGGCATAAATTATTTGATGAAGAATCTTTTTTTTAGTGTTATTCTGATGTGCCATCTGTTGATGGTCCTCGACATTAGGGAGATGGCTGTCATAATTGAAATACTAAATAAAAATATAAAGGCTTGATTGCTTTTTTGTCCCCTCAATTATGGACAATGTAAGATTTTGGTCCTGGTAGAATAGCCTGTTAAGAAAGCTGATTATTTTAATCTTTTTGCTTTACTTTCCGACTATATTTGACACTGATGTGATAGCTTAGGCTTTTAGCCTTTTTGTATCTTTTACACACAATTTAGACCATATATAATGAAATATAAACAAATCAGTGAGACTCACTCACTGTTTTCTTCTCCCAAAACACTTCTCTCTATATTCAAGTTGGTATCAAAGCTAGTTCGGTCCTGCTCGCGTTCTGCTGTCCCTCACTGTTGTTGGTCACTGTCTGTCGCTGTCGTGTAAGTCGCTGGAGATTTGGTGGATCTGGGTCACCTCAATGAACACAACCCAACCAGTCAAGATTGGAGGCTAAAACCTCCAGATGCCCTCTCACGCAATGCTTCTTTGCCTGCTCTGAACGTGTACTATTCACTTGTTGGTCTCTGATCACCAAAACAGTGATGTGCCACTGTCGTTGTGTTCGTTTGTGCCTCTTGAGTCTATTATAGGCCTTACTTTCTTCATCCAGTGACTGCTTGGTTGTGGGTTTGCTTCTCATCCCCTCCTCTTTGGTTCTTCCTATTTCAGGGAATCCCACCATTACCATAGAGAATGGTAAAAACTATTTATCATAGGCTGCCTTTGTGGAGCTCTGGTTCTTTGGTCATGGATACCATGATCACCTAGAAAAGGAGGACATTGAAGACTGAATGGAAAGCCATGCTCAATGGATGAAACTTGATTTTCAGTTGTGTGTTGTACTGTGGCAGTTTGTAGAGCCAAATATCTTGGGAACATTATGAAGCTTCAAAACTTGCTTCTCTTTTTGGAAGAAGGCTCAAAGCATTTATGCAAATGACATTCAATGTTTGTATGATGCTACCCAAAAAATAGCTTCTCTCATGAAGATTGGTCATGATATGGTTAACCATGTTGTTGAAGCTCAAGCTGCTCTAGAAGAGCTAAAAATGTTCCTAGATGATGATTCTTTAGAAGGAATAAAGAAGAAACTGCACAAATTGTATATGGTTTTGATCTTAAGGACAACGCACTTGAATTTTAACCATGTTTGTGACCAAATTCTAACCGGTCATGATATCCCTTCAATGGATCATTACTCGACTTCCTCGTCTTCCCACTAATGTGAAAAAGGAAAATCTATTTGGAGTTGTCGAAGCTTCAACAATGGTTTCTACTAGAGGAAGAGGTGGTTGTGGAAACCATGAAGGAAGAGGAGCTAAAAGTGGTCGTCCTCAATTTGCTTATTATAAGATGATGGACCATGGTCAAGAAAATTGTTATTCACTCCATGGTTTTCTAGAGAAGACAACAAAATTGTCCAAGTCTGAAAAATCAGAAAAGTTAGACATGAAGATCCCTGGAGATGATTATCAAGAATATCTTCAATAGAAAGCCATGAATCAAGCTCAGTCTTCCTCCACCTCTATTGTTTCAACAACTTGTGTTTCTCAATGAACTAAAAGTCAAAGTCCATGGATCATTGATTCAGGTGCTTGTGATCACATAGTTGGTAATAATTCAATATTTTCTTCCATGTCCCCTCTTAAATCACTTGACTTTATTACCTTAGTAGATGGGTCCATAATTGCCCAAAAAGGAATTGGTCGAGTTTCTCTTTCTCTCCATAAATTTAAAATCAATTTTGTTTATCCCCAATTGTTCTTTCAATTTAATTTCTTTAAGTCAATTAACTAGATCCCTAAACCTTTAAGTAACCTTTATGGTGTGTTTGGATGAGGAATTTTAGAAATTCAAGGAATTTAAAATTCTTGGTATTTGAATTACTTTGATTCAATTCCCATCATTCTTAAAATATTTTGTTTCGATAAGTCAATTCAAATTTCTTAAATTTTAAATTGTTAGTTTAGATATGATAATTTGATTCCTTCATGATAAAATTGATTTTAAAAATATATTCATATACTGAGATTCTTAAATTAAATTTTATAAAAATAAATATTAGCCAATTTTGAATATTTAATAATTTTAAAAATTGATATTAGATAATATTTAATAATTCCAAAAATATTTTTGAATATTCAATAATTAAAAGCACAAAGGGATAAGAGATAAAATAAAATATATAAGTGAAATATGAAAAAAAATGAGGAATTTCAAATTCTTATTTTTTTGAGAGAACTTGAAATTTTACTATTTTAAGCAATTTCACAAATACTAAGATTTCAAATTCTTTATAATTTCTCCATCCAAATAAAATATTTTACCTCAAGGAATTTGAAATTCTTCAAATAAATGAATTACTCTATTTAAATTCTATATTCAAACACACGATTAATGCTAAATCTTTTGTTATTTAGGAATGTGGTATGGGTTGAATGATTGGTGGAGGACATGAATCTAGTGAACTCTACTATTTTGGAACTCAACCACTTATATGCTTTGTTATTACTTTGTCACCCAAACTTTTGCATGATCGTCTAGGTCATCCAAGGCTATCAAAGTTGAAACTCTTAGTTCTTGGTCTAAAAGAATTGAAGGAGTTGGGTTGAGAATCATGTCAATTAGGCAAATATGTTAGGTCGTCTTTTCTTAAACAAACTGAAAAAAGATGTAACTCAGTTTTTACCACCATTCACTTTGATATTTGGGGTCCAAGCCATGTAACATCTTTTGGTTTAAGATATTTTGTAATTTTTATTGATGAATTTTCTCAATGTACTTGGGTATACTTAAACAAAGATCGTTATGAGCTTTTGCCTATTTTTATGTCTTTCTTCAATGAAATCAAGAACCAATTTGGGAAAACAATCAAAATTCTTAGAAGTGACAATGCCAAAAAATATTTCTCCTTTGAATTATCCTCATTCTTATCCTCACAAGGTGTTTTATATCAGTCCACATGCACCCCAACAAAATAGAATAGTAGGAAAAAAAAGACACCTTGTGGAAATTGCACACACCCTAATACTCAATGAAAATGTTCCTGTACATCATTGAGGTGATGCAATTCTCATTGCTTGTTTTTTAATAAACGGAATGCCATCTTCTCTTGAAAATGAAATTTCTTACTCAATTAATGTTCCAAAGGAACCCTTGTTTAGTGTCTCACCTCAAGTCTACATGTTTTGTCCATGATGTTTCTCCTGACCTAGATAAGTTGTTTACTAAAGCTATTAAATGTGTTTTCTTATGTTATTCTCGTCTTCAGAAAGGGTATAGGTGTCACTCTCCTATGACCAAAAAATACATGTCTGTTGATGTCTTTCTTTGAACAGGCTTTGTTTTTCTCATCCTCCACACATGATTCTATTTCAATACAACAAGTTTTACTTGTTTCTTCTCATCTTTTCATACCACCTCAAATTTCAACCCATACCACTTCCAGCCAAGAAGTTACTCAGGCTATCTTTCCCACAAATAATCCAATTCGGGATACTCCACCGCTTCTTATCACATATCAGTGTCAGACACGACAAATTGAACCAACATTACATGAAGAGTCACCATATTCATGTCCTTCACCATCAGACTCCTACTATGGATCCTACTGATGATACTTTAGGATTACCCATTGCACTTTGGAAAGGTATTTGATTTATTAAGAACTCTCATCCTATCTATAATTTTGAGTTATCATCGATTATCTCTCTTGTATTTCTCTTTTGTCTCTTATATATCACCTTTTACTATTCCTAAAAATGTTCATGAGGTACTTAATCATTCTGGATGGCGACAAGCCATGATTATTGAAATGCAAACTCTTAAGTATAATGGTATATGGGAGTTAGTTCCTCTTCCTCCTAGAAAACAAACAGTTGGATGCAGATGGGTCTATGCCATTAAAGTTGGGCTTGATGATGCAGTTGATTGGCTCAAAGCTAGATTGGTGGCAAAGGGATATACTTAGATTTATGGTCTGGATTATGGTGACACCTTCTCTCTTGTGGCCAAGATCCCTACAATTCGTTTCTTCTTGTGGACTCTCTACCAATTAGACATTAAGAATGCCTTTCTACATGGTGAGTTGGAGGAGGAGATTTACATGGAACATCCTCCTGATTTTGTTGCTTAGGGGGAGTCTGGTTTAGTTTACAAATTGTGAAGGGCCCTTTATGACCTAAAACAATCTCCTCGGGCATGGTTTGGAAATTTTATTCATGTGGTGCAGGACTTCGGGCGAAAAGAAATGAAGCTGACCACTCAGTTTTTTATTGTCATACTTGTCCTAGGTGTGTTTATTTGATTGTTTATGTTGATGACATAGTGATTATAGGAAATGATGCAACTACAATCTGTCAATTGAATAAACATCTATTTACTCATTTTCAGACCAAATATCTTGAATATCTAAAATACTTTCTTGGTATTGAGGTTTCTCAATCAAAGGAAGTTATTGTGATTTCATAAAGGAAGTATGCTTTGGATATCTTTGAGGAAACAATCATGGCTAGTTGCAAGCCCATTGATAGTCCTATGGATCCTAACTAGAAATTCATAGTTGATCAAGGTTACCCATTCTCCGATTTGGAAAGGTATAGAAGATTGGTTGGGAAGCTCATTTATCTTACAATCACAAGACCTGATCTTTCTTTTGCAGTAGGGATTGTTAGCCAATTCATGTAGGCTCCTCATGTTGATCATTGGAATGCTGTTTTACATATTCTTAAATATATTAAAAAGGCTCCGAGACAGGGATTGTTGTATGAGGACAAAGGAGACAACCATATTTCTGGATATTGTGGTGCTGATAGGGTAGGATGTCCTATAGACCAACGTTCTACTACTGGACATTGCGTATTCCTTGGAGGGAATCTCATCTCTT